TCATTAAAAATGCTTTCAAAATTGGTAATGGTTTGACAGTTATTTTCAAAAACCTGAATTTGAAATATTATATACAGTTTTCATGTACTCATAAACTGTATGAATGCATTTCTAAACCTAATATATATAAAACCTGCTAATACAGCACAGTGATTAAGCTGGGCTCTAAAGTCAGACTATCCGAAATTCAGTCTTTCTAAATTGTACTAACCTACCTTAGGCAAATTACCATACCTCTCTGTGTATCCTCAGTTTCCTCAGTTGTAAAATAGGAGTAATTTAATACTTATTTAATTAGGTTATATTGGAATTATATGAACTAATTCATATAAAACTCTTGGAATAATTAATGCTTGAAACAGAGTACTCATTCACTAATGTTAACATCTTAGATTAATAGTACTGCTATTGATAGTACTAATTAATGCCTTTCTTCTGTTTTCTTGGCCTCCATATTTTTTTTTTCCTACTGAGTAATTTGGAATTTATACCGAGAAGTTGGAATACTGTTGTTCAACCATGGAATCATAAATTTAAAATATTTTTAAAAGACTTGTTATATTTATTCTGTGCTGCGCTCTGTAGATGTGAAAGATATGAAGACCTGGTCCCATTTCTTAAGGAGTTCTTGTTATGGGAGAAGGGTACAGGAAAGTATTAGATAATACAGAGTCACAAAGTCTGTGATGGGGATCATCAAGGGTGCTGTGGAAGAACCAGATACTTGCCTCATACTTGGCAGAAGATAACACCTATGCTTGACTCTTTTTGTGGGGAGGTGGGAGTGTCTGTTTCTTTTTGTTTTGTTTTGTTTTTTCATTGATTCTGATATATTTAGCACTGACCACTAATTCAAACTCTGAAAAACTCCTAGGCTGGTAGAAATCATATGTCTCAATAATAATGATTAGGATGATGTGTTTCATTTCACTGAAGTCTAAATTAACTTAAGGTACATATAGGAAAACATAAGAGTTTAGAATCTGATTAAGTCAAAGTCAGTAACCAGTCTGCCCAAAACTAAGCCATGAGCCTTTCTACCCTAATATGAGTGTCTCATCTCAGTTAATAGCAGCTACATCCTTTCATTGGCCTTACCCTATGGAATTTGTCAATAGAATTTCTTTAGGAATGAAAAAGATAAGCAAAGATGTAAATATAATCAAGTGGTAATGTTTGGTTATTAATGATGAGAGAATTTTAGCAAGTAGAGACCTTGGACCAGATTTCATCAGGTGCTTCTATAGGATCAGAGTGGGACTAAAGAGATATGTCTTACACAGTGTGTAAATCCCAAGACCTAAAACCATGGAGCACATTCCTAACTTTGCTTTTTCTCTCACTCCACATCTACTCTAACAGCAAATCCAATCATCTCTTTATGCATAATTGTATCTAGAATTTTATCACTTCTTATCTTATTCATAGCTACATTCTTGTCCAAGCCATCATCTCTTTTTTGTAAAATACATACAATTGAGGCTGGGTGCAGTGGCTCACGCCTGTAATCCCAGCACTTTGGGAGGCCGAGGCAGGTGGATCACGAGGTCAAAAGATCGAGACCATCCTGGTCAACAAGGTGAAATCCCATCTCTACTAAAAATACAAAATTAGCTGGGCATGGTGGTGCGCACCTGTAATCCCACCTACTCGGGAAGCTGAGGCAGGAGAATTGCTTGAACCCAGGAGGCGGAGGTTGCGGTGAGCCGAGATCGTGCCATTGCACTCCAGTCTGGGTAACAACAGTGAAACTCTGTCTCAAAAAAAAAAGAAAAAAAAAAAAAAATATATATATATATATACACACACAATTGAGTAGTTTTTAGTATTTTTACAAGTTATGCGACCAGTACCACTATCTAACACCAGAATATTTTTCTCACTCTAAAAAGAAAATCCTGTACCCATTAGCAGTTATTCTTCCCCTTTTCCTATCCCTTGACAGCCACTGGTTTTACTCTGTGTCCATAATTTGCCTATTCTTCACATTTCATATACATAGAATTATGTAATATGTGGCTTTGTGTGTGTGGCCATTTTCTTTCTTTCTTTCTTTTTTTTTGTTTAGATGGAGTTTTGTTCTCGTTGCCCAGGCTAGAGTGCAATGGTGCCATTTCAGCTCAGCGCAGCCTCCTGGTCGCTGCAGTTTCCACCTCCTAGGTTCAAGTGATTCTCTTGCCTCAGCTTCCTGAGGAGCTGGGATTACAGGCATGCACCACCATGCCTGGCTAATTTTGTGTTTTTAGTAGAGATAGTGTTTCTCCATGTTGGTCAGGCTGGTCTCGAAATCCTGACCACAGGTGATCCTTCCACCTCAGCCTCCCAAAGTCTTGAGATTACAGGCATGAGCCATTGTGCCTGGCTGTGTGTGGCCACTTTCAAATAGAATAATCTTTACAAGGTTTAATCAGAACTTTAGTCCTTTTTATGGCTGAAAGTATTTCCATATGTAGATATGTTAGATTTATTTATTCATTCTATACTTGTCTTTGAGAGCGTAATTGGAATTAGCCAGGGGGAACACATTCCAGGCTAAGAGAGCAGAAGTGCAGTCACCTGATATCCTAAGAAAGCATGATATTTCAGAGGGATATCTGATTTAACATGCCTGAGAGAAGAAAGCATATGCAGAACAGAGAGCAAGTGAAGGAGGGGGAGCAAAACAACTGGATTGTTATTAGGTTGTATAATCTAAAAGATTCTATAGATAGGGTTAAGAAATTTGAATGTGATTTGAGAGAATTCATAAAAATTCCCTCTAGTTCAGATTTAGGATTTTTAAAAATGATTCAAAATAGGGAAAAGCCAAAAATGGGTAGTTTTCTGTTTTCATATAATAATGACTACTTTAGGATGGTGTTTGAATACATTAATCTAGATTAATAGACTTTTAGGGAGTTGTTCTTTAATAAATTTTACTGCTGAATTCCCTTTTTGCTTAAAGTAGTGGAAGTAGGCCAGGCGAAGTGACTCACGCCTGTAATCCCAGCACTTTGGGAGGCCGAGGTGGTTGATCACCTGAGGTCAGGAGTTCAAGACCAGCCTGACCAACTTGGAGAAACCCCCATCTTCACTAAAAATACAAAAAAAAAAATTAGCCAGGCGTGGTGGTGGGTGCCTGTAATCTCAGCTACTCGGGAGGCTGAAGCAGGATAATCACTTGGACGCAGGAGGAGGACGTTGCAGTGACCCAAGATCCCGTTGCACCCCAGCCTGGTCAACGAGAGTGAAACTCCATCTCAAAAAAATAAAAAAAGCAGTGGAAGTAATTGAAATGGATTTTCCTAGCAATATCAGGTCTCATATGTTTTGAAGCTTTTAAATATAGATATGGTACATAACTTCAGTATATACTTCAGTTCCCACCATGACTCTGAAAAATAGTAAATAGATGGAGCCATTTGTTGCATATGGAATTCTCTTTTACTTTCTTTTTTTTTTCTTAACATACAGAATTCTCAGTGGAATATGAGAAGTAATAAAGCTTAGAGACTTAAGGTAGACGTGGGTTGTGATGAAATTAGGGAATTGGATCTTTGCCAAAAAGTCTGAGTCGTAATTTTCCTTTTTGTAAAATGGAGGCAGGACCAGACAAGACTTTGAGAAAACATCTAGTCTTACCTTTTGATATTAGACAGTTAAAAGTCTATGCTGTTTATTGTATGTTAGTATGATATGTCTGAACATGTATGCTTCATTCTCATGAATAATAAATGGTTGTCATTTTAATTTCTTGAAAGATTTTTATCAGTGACAAAGCTTTCCTTAGAAGACCAATTTGATAATACTCAAGAGAATCCATTCTTTAATTTTATAAGAAAGCTGAGGCCTAATGAAGATATATGACTTGTTCAAGGGCTCTTTGGAAGGCAGAGTTCCTACTCTAAAGCAGTAGAGTATAGCTGGCATGGAAGTGGAAAGGTACAGGAGGGTAGGTGTATGTGACTTGACAAGATAAGAAAACAAGTCATTTCATCTTAACAGTTTTCACTTTGAATTAGAGGTATTTTACATTCCACATTGAGAATACACATGGGAGGATATTGGTGCTAATTAATAACCTAGTGGCACATCTAGAACTAAATTTCCCAACTCTTAGTCCAGGCTCTGCTTTTTATCTTCAGCATTAGGTACTGTTTGTCTGAGCAAGAAAAATATCCAAGTGAGTTTTCTCAGTTGTAAATGGCATTTAAATTAACTATATCACACCTTCCCTTTTGCTAGTAAAAATACAGGATTTTATTTACCAGGTATGGGGGTAAACAACTGTAGTCCTAGCTACTTGGGAAGCTGAGGTGGGAAGGTCTGGAGCCCAGGAATTTGAGGTTACAGTGAGCCATGATCAGGTTATTGCTCTCCAGCCTGGATGACAAAGTGAGACCATGTCCTTTTTTTAAAAAGTAGAATTTATAGGTTAGAATCGTTTATTTGGAATTTTCTGGTATTGTTGAATCAGTTATAAATCATTATTAACAAAATTAAATCAGCAACAAAAATTTTTATGTTTTTAAATTGTGTGATTGGAACTGATGTTTTGCTGTAATTATTCAGAAAGTTCTAGATCTTAATTTTATAACAATATCAAATGCTGTAATCTCTGAGGGTAGAAAAGAATTATTTTCAAATGAATCAAGAACAAAACAAAAAATACTCTTGCAATCAAGTTTTACATTGATTTCTTCTCCTTAGAGATAAACTTTTAAAGGTAACAAAACTTTTTTATTTAGTTTTGTTCCTACTTTTCTTTTCAACCAAAGAGATCTTCATTGTCATTCTGATAAGTAGAGAGGAAAATTCGATATTCCTCTCTGAAGAATAGTATATTTTAATGTGTTTTTCTTAGTGCTATTAAAATTCAGGGTTAATTAGGGCTAGCTGTACCAGTGTTTTGGATGTTCTTAATGTATTTTTTAAATTTTAATTTCTAATTGATATTATTCAGAAAGTTCTCTAGAACAGGAAAAGGATTTTTATGCTGTCTTATTTTTTTCCTTGTTTAGAAATCGAAACGAGTTGGCTGAGACTCTTGCACTCCTGAAAGCACAAATTGATCCTGTACTATTGAAAAACTCTAGCCAACAAGACAACTCTTCTCGGGAAAGTCCCAGCTTAGAGGATGAGGAGACTAAAAAAGAGGAAGAAACACCTAAACAAGGTTTTTTTTTGTGTGTTTTGTTTTGCTTTGTTTTGTAATCTCTTCCATCTTCTTCTACTCCTCTTCCTAACTATATAATTCTGAATTTCTATCTCAATTTGAATTGGGAACCTTCCTATAAAAGGAGGTTGATTTTTTTCCTTAATTTAAAGAAAATGAGGCCAAATACATCAAATATGTTGCTCCTTTATGTAGAACGTTTAAAAATCTTCATGAAAAATGTTCAAATCATCAAAGCATATTTTTTACTAAGGAATATGCAGTAATTTAGTGAACTTTTTTTATTGTGGCAAAATATACATAACATAAAATTTACCTTTTTAACCATTTTTAAGCATACATTAAGTACATTCACTTTTTTGTCATGCACCCATCACCACCATCCATCTCCAGAACCTTTTTGATCTTTCTCAGTTAAAACTCTGTATGTTTTAAACACTAAACTCTGCATTTTCCCTTGCCCCTAGTCCCTGGCATCTCCCATTCTACTTTCTCTCTCTAATGAATTTGATCATTCATATTGGAGGAATCATATAATGCTTGCACTTTTTTAACAGGCATATTTCGAATAGCATAGCGTCTTCAAAGTTCATTCATGTTGCAGGGGTCCCCGACCCCTGGGCCAAGGACCATTACCTGTGTGTAACCTGTTAGGAAGTGGGCTGCACAGCAGGAGGTGAGCAGGGACCAGTGAGCATTATTGCCTGAGCTCCACCTCCTGTCAGATCAATGGCAGCATTAAATTCTCATAGGAGCACAAACACTTATAAACTATATATGCAAGGGATTTAGGTTGCACACTCTGAGAATCTAATGCCTGATGATTCAAGGTGGAAAAACAGTTTCATCCTAAAACCATACCCCACACCTACATCCTGTGGAAAAATTGTTCCACGAAACCGGTCCCTGGTGCCAGAAGGTTGGCAACCACTGTTGTGGTAAATGTCAGAATTTTCTTCCTTTTAATAATAATAAATTATTGAGTAATTGTCCATTTATGTATATACCACATTTTGTTTATCAGTTCATCCATCAATGGGCACTTGAATTCATCCACCTTTTGGACATTGTGAATAATGCTGATACAAACTGGGTGTACAGCTATCTCTTGAGTCACTGCTTTCCCTTCTTTTAATCCAGAAGTGGAATTGTTGGATCATATATGGTAATTCTGTGTTTAATTTTTTTGAGGAAGTGCATACTGTTTTCCACAGCAGTTGCATCATTTTACATTCCTTTCAGTAACGCCCAAGGACTCTAGCTGCTTTCCATCCTCACCAACACTTGTTTCTGTTTATTTTTTTTTTTATAACAGCATCTCATTGTAGTTATTAGTTCCTAATGACAAGTGATGTTAAGCATCTATCTTTTCAAGTGTTTATTGGCCATTTGTATATCTTCTTTGGAAAAATGTTTATTCAAGTTCTTTGTCCATTTTTTCGTTGGGTTGTTTATTTTTTTGTTTTGCGTTGAAAACTCTTAAGTCTATGATAATTTTAATTATTAAACCTGAATCCCAGTTGAGTTTTCGAATTCGCTTAACTAGGCAGATCAAATTCTAACCTTTCTAGGAAGATAAAGCGAAGTCCTGAGCTCTCCAAAAGGAAGGAAACCAACTGAAATTTTGATCAACATCTATTTAGTTAATGTTTGTTATGGATAACCTTTTAATGATAAGGGAAGGAATTTGCTTTCCTTATCATGTTTTCTTTGCTTTAAGTTTGCCTCCAGTAGTTTTGATTACAACCTAAAAGTAATGTGTTATTATTTTATTTGCTGCTTTCAGGAAACCATTTATATAAAGCATTCTATATCTGCAAGCATTGCTTGTAAACAAGGAATTGTGCCTTTTGGTGTAGTATATAATAATGTTTCTATATATTAAGCATTGCTTTTGGCCAAAATGCTGATTACTGTTCTTCATTGCTTATGTGGTTTTATTTCAAATATCTGTGGTAGTTTTATTTCTAAGCTCAATTTCTGATTTAAATAATTATTTTTCATATGTTAAAATTAAACTTGTAGACTACTTCAGGAAAGCTTTTTTTTTCCTTTGAGACAAGATCTCTCTCTGTCACCCAGGCTGAAGTGCGGTGGTACAGTCATTGCTCACTGCACCCTATAACTCTTGGGCTCGAGTGATTCTGTCCCCTCAGCCTCTCCTGAGTAGCTAAGACCACAGGCGTGTGCCACCAAGCCCAGCTAGTTTTTGTTTCTTATTTTCTGTAGAGATGGGGTCTCGCTCTGTTGCCTAAGCTGGTCTTGAACTCTTGGCCTCAAGCGATCCTCTTGCCTTGGCCTCCCAAAGTGCTGGGATTACAGGAATGAGTCACTGTGCCCAGCCATTCATAATAATTTAAAAGTAGTCTGAACCTTTTTTTTTTTTTATTAGAACCTTTTCTTTTTTATTAGTATTTCCCAAGGATTAGTTCTGGGGGTTTTTTTGTTGTTGTTTTTTTTTTTTTTTTTTTTTTTTTTTTGAGACGGAGTTTCGCTCTTGTTACCCAGGCTGGAGTGCAATGGCGCCATCTCGGCTCACCGCAACCTCCGCCTCCTGGGTTCAGGCAATTCTCCTGCCTCAGCCTCCTGAGTAGCTGGGATTACAGGCACATGCCACCATGCCCAGCTAATTTTTTGTATCTTTAGTAGAGACGGGGTTTCACCATGTTGACCAGGATGGTCTCGATCTCTTGACCTCGTGATCCACCCGCCTCAGCCTCCCAAAGTGCTGGGATTACAGGCTTGAGCCACCGCGCCCGGCTCTGGGTTTAAACTGAATATTATTTGTTCATTTTGGTTATTCCTTCACATATATTTTTTTTATTCCCATACACAGTTAAAATCAAAGCCAGAGAAAATGTGAATTGGAAATAAAAGTAAGAATAATAGAAATTTAAGAAGCAATTATTTTCAATAGAAGACCTCAAATTTGACACTGATCTTGAAGGGAGACTCATTGTGTGATTTAAAGTAGAAAGAAAAACAGAATAAACTCTTTTTCTAGTAAAGCTCTTCCTAATAGTTAATTCTAAAATTTTTTTGTGGGTCCTTATAGTAGAGAATGGGGGATTTCAACAGTAACAACAGCTAACATTTATTGGGCACATCCTGTTTTCTTTGCAGTCTACCAAATGCTGCATATGGATTTTCATTTAATCCTCATAGCAACTCTTTGAGGTAACTACTATTATTATTTCAATTTTACAGATGAGGAAATTGGAACATTTTTATTGTTGCCTCAGGTCATATACATAATAAAGTCTAGATTTGGAGCCTTATCCTTCAATAGTCTGTGCTTTTAAAGTGGTCTAGAGTAATACTTCTGAAACTTTAATATGTGTAGTGTTCACCTTGGGAGTTTTTTTAAAATACAGAATCTGGTGGACCTAGGTCTTGGCTGTCTGCTGATTGGCATTTTAACAAGGACCTATGTGATGTGGATACTGTTGGTTAGAGGACCACATTTTGAGTTGTAAGGTCATCTCCTAACTTCTGAAACAAATACACCAATGGCTATTATACACCTGTTTCTGAAAACATTTCTCAGTGAATGTTGATGTTATACCTCTCAACAAGAAAAAAATGGTCTGTGAGGGATGGCCTCTCCTAAAAAAGCAGAAGAGGAGGAACAGAACATTTAATTCTCTTTGTTTTTCTCTCTTCTATTTTTATTTTAGAGACAGAGTCTCACTCTGTCACTCGGGCTGGAGTGTAGTCGTACAGATAGCACACTGCAGTCTGGAATTCCTGGGCTCAAGTGATCCTCCTGCCTCAGCCTCCTAGTAGCTGGGACTACAGGTGTGCACCACCATGCCTGGCTAATGTATTTTAATCTTTTATTTTGTAAAGACATGGTCTCACTTTGTTGCCCAGGCTGGTCTCGAACTCCTGACTTCAAGCAATCCTCCTGCCTTGGCCTTCCAAAGTTCTCAGGTGTGAGCAACTCAGCTCAGCCTACCTTCTCTTCTAAACAGGGCTTTCTGCTTCTCTTTCTCTAACAAAATGTTTCTTACTAATTCATTTATTCATTCAGTGAATACTTACTGTGCACCTTCTATGTGCTAAGCATAATTTTAGGCATATAGTTTAATAAAGAAAGACTAAAATCCTTTCTTTTGTAAAGCTAAAACTAGTGAATAAAATAGTAACACATAAACCATTTACTGTGTGCCGGTACTGTTGTAAATGCTTTGCCTGTATTGTCAGCTCATTTTCACAACAAACCCTGTTTAGTAATATAATATTACTTCCCTTTTTTCAGGGGGAAATTAGATAAAGAGTGACTTCAGTAACTTTCCCAAGGTGACACAGCTTGTTAAAGGCAGACGTAATATTGAAAACTAGGCAGTCTGTCTCCAAAGTCTTGTGCCCTTTCAATGCTGCACTTACGTATGATTTCAGCCCCCATAACCCTGTCTCTCTCCCTTGTCCACTCACATGTAGTTAGTTCTTGTAGTCTGTTCCATGGCAAGAGCAAAGAAATACGATTCTGTTCTGTCATTTTTATTCCTTTCAGGTGTAAACAAACATTACCCTTGGGTTGTGTTGGGGGATCAGAGTGAGGTGGGAAGGAGTAGGTCAAAAGACGGAAACAGTCCTGGGGAATGTCTGACAGTCCTGGGGAAGGTCTAACGTAGAATGTTGAAGCAAAATGTGACAAAGTTAAAAATTAAGCATGGTTGGAGATTTGTGAATTAGGAAGCAAGAAGTAAAAATAAATAGGCACTGAAGAGGGAATAAACAGCGACTCTTATTCTTGTAGTTAAAATAGATTTTTCTTTAGTCATTAGTTAAATTGCCATGCCTTGTATCTTACCTCAGTAAGGTAAGTTTTTTGTTTATTTTTACCTAGGTGCTAAGAAGAAACATACTACCTATAAAAGTGGGCAAAAAAATGAACAATGGCAGCAAGTGGCCTAGAAAATGGTGACACCAACTAAATATTTAAGTTGACTTTGTTTCAAAGATAATTAGAATTGCCTTCTGAAAGTCTAAATTTG